TCTGAAATATATGTAAGATCTGGAAGAAGTAGACAAAAAACAAGTAAGCAAAGGCTATAGTCGTGCTGGGCCGACTACGTGATACCCTACAACACTACAATATGTTAGAAGCCCCCTTATGTCCAAATACATTTTGGAAGATTTCGCTTTTGAAATAGATGTCATAGATCACTGACCAGATATTACCCATAGTTTTTTGACTAGGGACATTTGCCCAATATTTACGAACTCCGTCGTGCTGTTAGTTACAGGTAAATATAATCCAATGGTCATTCAAAATGCTAGGCTTCTTCCCTATCTTTAACTCTCATGCAAAATTTTTGTGAGGATCGGACGATAATTGCACACAAAATGAACAAATATTACAAAATGTATACTTCAATATTATAAGTCAAATTGAAAAAATCGTATGCGATAACAAATATGAAAAAATAAACAAAAATTTTCTTCTGGTTTTTCGTTTGGCTCGAGGTCAGAATTTAAAAAAACAGACGAATTTGTTTTTTTATATATTAATTTATTTGTCCGATATTTCGACTATCTTCGATAGTCATCATCAGGGATTTGAATTGGATTTTAACTCTTCTGTTTTTATACCCTCCACCATACTATGGAGGGTATATTAACTTTGTCATTCCGTTTGTAACTCCTCGAAATATTCATGTCAGACCCAACAAAGTATATATATTCTTGATCAGCGTAAAATTCTAAGTCGATTTAGCGATGTCCGTCTGTCTGTTTGTCCGTCTGTCTGTCTGTAATCACGCTATCTTTCGAATGAATTGAGATAGATGGCTAAAATTTTGCACACACCTTTATTTTTTCAGTAGGCAGGTTAAGTTCGTAAATGGGCCATGTAACCCCCCTATATTCGGTATTTTGATGATTTTAGCGACATTATTCACGGGAATTGTTTCAAATCTGGTATTTGAAGTTCCAAATGGATACTACATCCTAAGACTGAAAATTGTCTGTGCAGGTCCACGTCTTCGTATAGCCCCCATATAACATTTTAGCGACATTATTAACCGGAATTGTTTAAAATTTGGTATTTGAAGTTCGGCCAGGCCGAACTTACTGCTTTTTAACTTGTTAAGTTCTCTGATGCAGCTTTTCCATCCTTTCCTTTTTACTCGAATTTCCAACTCAGTTGGAAAATTCGTGTAAAAAGGAAAGGATGGAAAAGCTGCATCAGAGAACTTAAAGACAGAAGAGTTAAAATCCAATTCAAATCCTTGATGATGACTATCGAAGATAGTCGAAATATCGGACAAATAAATTAATATATAAAAAAACAAATTCGTCTGTTTTTTTAAATTCTGACCTCGAGCCAAACGAAAAACCAGAAGAAAATATATTGATCAAAGGTCAACAATAACTATACAAATTAATAAACAAAAATGTCACAAAATACTACAAAATCTATATTAACACCATTATTGACATATTTTTTATGCAACTTTTTTAGATTTTATACTTTTATGCGAAGAGGGCATTCTGAATTGACAAAATTTGTCAAATTCGGTACAGTCATTCCTGAGATATAAGCATTCTAGCTAACATCCCCTTCCTTTGTATATACACATCGTATACATCTCGCTATATATATCCGATATATTTATTATCGGCATCTATGTAACGGTCAGAATTGACCTGTTCGTCTATTTGTGATTTCGCTGGGATTAAAAATATTCGCGATTTATTAAAAATTTGACTTTTATTTAACACAAATTTTATGGTCTATTTTACCCACTAAATAAGATCTAGCCGTATGCTTACTTACGCGTTGATTGGTCTATTATTGCGACCTTTAGAGCAACTGCAAAATCAGGAAATTTTTTTAAGTTTTTGGACAATTTCAACCCCTAAATATTATGCTATCATCTCCAAAAGCAATAGGGTTCTATTCTGACCATAACCACACCTCCATTTTCAATTTCGTGAGGATCAAGCAATAATTGCGACCTGTAGCGTGAAAATTGTTAATTCAAAACAAAGTCATAGACTATCCTAATAAAAGAGTATTCCGGACCAATAAATAGTGGTCCGATAACGTTCGCTCTCGCTCAAACCCAATAGAATTGTACCAATAACTCCACTCAAAAAAAAAAAAAAAAAAAAAAAAAAAAAAAACTATATTAAGATTCTGATCCGAATTAAGAGCTTCCTTAGAGAGTTATAGTGCACACCATCTAGATATTCAAACGAATTGTTTGACAAGGATGGATTTATATGATCCTTCCAAATTGGAAGAAAATTGCCGCAGCATTGCCCGAAATGCGAATTCTCCAATCTTCAAAAAAAAAAAAAAAAAAAAAAAAAAACAGATATTTTAAATATAGGCAATTCCCAAAAAAATTGAAGTAGGTTGATAAAAAATTACTCAAATGTTTATTTGATCTGCAGGACTGGTGTTGGAAATGGGCTATATAAGTCCACGTTTAGGTATAGCCCACATATAACAGTATCTTCTTATATTCGGCATTTTGATTATTTCATATTTCGTTTTTGAAGTTCATAATGGCTACTGCAGTTTTTGCGACATGTAACCGACATTTATATTATGACTAGTATGTTCGGTATAAAAAATGGGACATATTGGGCCTGATTCTGATTCCTGATTTTCGGTATTTTGAATGATTTGTCACAATTTTGAACCAAATCATATGTAACTTGACCTTTAGAGTTCTGGGTAGTTATAATCTCATCACGCTAAAACTTTTCAAGAGTGCTCCAGTGTTTGGTATAGGCCCCACATTACAGTATCTCTTAATTTTCGGTATTTTAAAGGTTTCGACCACAATTTCAAACCCAATCATGAGTAACTTGACATTTTGAGATTCTGAGCTGACAGAACACCTCTCTGCTAAATTTTGTTAAAATAGGTCCACCATCCACTATATAACGTCACTAACTAATTTTAATTATTCAGAGGGTTTCAGACAGAGTTTTTTACAAACTTATTATTTGGTATTTTCCTTCTCTGTGAATAATAACTACAAAAATTGCCAATACAGAACCATTCTGTTGAGTCTACTGGGTTTGGATCCCAAAAAACAGAAAAAGACCTAAGACACATCTATACGTTTAAAACAAGGATATATCACTGGTGTTTAGAAAATCATGATTATCATGTTTATCCCTTGAATCTCTCTCATTGTTTAAATTGAATCATCATACAAAACTGAAGGTGAGGTAAGGTATATTTTTTACATTCTTTAGTACTGGTTTTTTGTTGATTATGAAAGATGAATTTCCATACTAAATTAAACAAGAAGGAAAGCTGTAAGTTCGGCCGGGCCGAACTTTTATTACCCTCCACCATTTGGAACGAATTAGACAATTTTCAAAAAATAAAATCCGTTAAAAATTTTGTTAAAATCCTAAAAATATCGAATGTAGCCATTATATTAGGGTCAATATGACGACGTGGACCTGCATAGGCAACTTTTGTCATAAACCATTACAATATTCAAATTCGAAACTTGAATAAAAAAAATTCGGTGAATAATGTGGCTGTGGGGGCTACACCAAAACGTGGACATGCACAGACAATTATCTGTCATAGGCTGTAGTATCCATTACGAACTTCAAATACTAAATTTGAAACATTACCGGTGAATAATGTCGCTTAAATTACCAAAATATCGAAAATAAGAAGGTACTATTATATGGGGGTTATACCAAAACGTGGACCTACATGGCCCATTTTAATACCAAAAGTCATGCAGGCATAATATACATTTGAGTAAAATTTTATGAAGCTACTTCATTTCGTTCGAAAGCTAGAGTGATTTCCATAGACCAACAGATGGACGAACATCGCTCAATCGACATAGAATTTTATGCTGATCAAGAATATTTACAATTTGTGGGGTCTAAAGTGTATATTTCGAGGTGTTACAAACGGAATGGAGGGTATAAAAATAAATATTACGGGGATGGAAAACTTTAATATCAAATCCGATGAAGCATGTATATGGGAGCTACAGCTATACCTGAACCTATTTTTACAAATCATTGCCGCTTCAATCCTACATTGGTCGCACAATAAAATTTAAATCAAGCGAAGTTATATATGGTAACTATTTCTAAATCTGGTCCGATTTTCACTTTAATAGAGTTGGTCCTTGAGCCAAACAAATGATTTGAGGAAAATTTCTACTCAATCGGGCAATAAATGCGATTAGAACTTTGTTTACAAAAATATATGGAAATGCATAAATCGATTTGGAAAGTGATTCTATGGAGATGATAAGACAAACGCTCAATTTTGAATAATTAATTTTCTTTAAGCTTCGTACATCTCTATATTCCTACTAACCATAGAACTAATGCGAATGTAGGGTAGATCAACTACCATATTCTAGTATCTTCCCCCTTTAATAACACACCTATGTTTGTTTTAACTTCGAGGAATGCCATACTTTAACATATATTAGACCTTGTCGGTTGAATTCTTCTTGTACCTCCTCGCCATAACATAACTTCCCTAAAATTCGAAAATAATCTCCAATAAATTTTTATTTACTTATGACACTTCCTAAAAAGGGCTACAAAAACGCAACCGGTCGCAAACCGTTTATTTTAGGAAGGCTTTGTGCAATCAGACAACGGCATTGTTATCCAACAGCCACGGTCAATGTATCTTTGGTCCTGTCGAGGTGAACTAGTTTATAAAAATAAATAAAGCAGACAATCACACATATTGGTGCGATATTCTTTGTTACATCCGAACAGGTTCTGATATCAAACCGCAACGCTCAACTGTAGGGTAATGAGAATGATGAGTGTAATAATTGCGGTTGTAATGTGTATGTGACTTGAAACTAAAAACAATAAAGAGGAAGAGACTCAAGCTTTATCAGAAATTCTATACAGAATGCTAAACAATTTTGCAAGCTTTAATTGGCTGCTTTTGGGAGACTGAGAATAAGTTTTCGGGAGAGGATTATGCATTTTTATTTTTTTTTAAGTTTCAATTCTTGTTTGGGAATGTCAAGTGTTAAGCCTTTGTGGTGTGACGCTGTGATTCAGTAGTCCGTGGGCTATTGATGTGTCGACATTGGTGACAGGAAAGAAAACAAAAATTCCAACGCTTGGCGGAAAGTGGATAACGTAAACGAAGATGTGCCGTTGGAAAATTGCAGTGTTGCTGCTGTGCACACTGATTACTTTGGCCGAAGCCGGACGTGTTAAACGTGTGGTTGGAGGTCATGCCGCTAAAGCTCCGCCACCCGATGATCCCGTTGTGTTTACGCGAATTTTTGAACGTGATGCCCGCGTTGAGGGTTACCGTAACCCGCATTCTAAAATTTATAGTTTTCTTGGTCTGTATTATGCTGAGCCGCCAACGGGACAAAATCGTTATGCCCGTCCGGTATACAAGCGTTTGGTGGGTGATGTGGATGCAAAAAAACATGGACCGCCATGTATACAACCGGATCCAAATAATCCAAATCGTGTTATTGGTGATGAGAATTGTCTGTTGCTAAATGTCTATACTCCGCAAATGCCGGATGAAACAACGGGATTGCCGGTCATTGTATGGATCCATCCAGGTGGTTTTCGTTTTGGTTCGGCAGCCCAGTACGATGCTACTCCCATTGCCCAAAATGGCGTTATTGTTGTGTGTCCCCAGTACCGTTTGGGATCCCTGGGTATTATGGGCGATGGGACGAAACAATTTGATGGCAATCTGGCGATTTTCGATATGGCAGCAGCCTTGCGTTGGGTCAATGATTACATTTCTTATTTCGGTGGCGATCCTCGACAAATCAAGGCCGTTGGCCATGGTTCTGGAGCGGCAAGTGCCATGTATTTGTCGATGTCGCGATCGGCAAGAAGTGCAGGTGACATCAGCGGTGTTGTGGCCATGTCGGGCACTGCGCTCTCACAATACGCCACCGATAAGGAACCGGTGCAGAGTGTTCAGGAAGTGGCTGCGATAAACGGCTGTTCGGCTGGCAATGAAACTGAAATTGTGAAATGTTTGAGAAAGGTTTGTTGGACAACTATGGCGATGTTATCAAAGAGCTTTTGAAAATTCTTTCTTCTTTTTTATTTTGGATTTGTTTAGAAAAGAGCTGAAGATATCATTGCCAATGATTCGAAAATTCAAACTGAGCGTTTGGCCGGCCGGGCCATGATCAAGGGTTTGGGCGGCAGTGTGGGTTTCCAGCCACACATTGAGAGTATCAACGATAGGAGAGCTCTGCCAAGCTTAATTGAAGACCAGCCGGAGCAACAACTCAAGAGTGGAAATTTTACACCCATTCCCATATTGACGGGAGTGGTTAAACATGAAACCGGCAATGCCTTTACTTTGGATAGAATTAACAATGTCTTCGGAACGGCAGAACAATTTTTGGGCTCCTTGACGGACACCCTAATGGAGTTGTCATCATTTTTGCGTATAGATTCCATAACAGGTAAAATTGCCAAACCCGCATTGCCAGGATTACCCAGCGAGTTGACACCCACACTGGAACAGGTTTTGAAGATACCGAAAAGTTTAAATATCGATGAAATTGTAGATAAGGTAAGGTCATAACAAAAAAAAAAAAAAACAAATATCAAATTTTAAAAAAACTCTTCCCTTTCAGATCACCGAATCAACAACGGATATTTTATTCAACCTACCAGCAGTGTTGACCACCCAGTCATGGTCACAAATTGCCCCAGCTTTTATGTACAGCTTTGAATACAATGGCACCACATCCAAGGGTCTTAACTTCCTACGCGGCCTACCCATAGTGGGGGACAAAGTAAACTCCGACAACTCGGTGGTTGGTCATGGCGATGAGCTGGGCTACCTTTTCGACTGCAATGACCTCTTTGGCAATCCCCAACCCAAGACCCGCCTCAATTCACCCGAAGACATGAAGGTGCGCAAAAACCTCATTGATATGTTAGTTCGCTTTACGAAAACCTTCAAGGAAGATACCAAGCAAGGAGCCTTCACCGATAACCTCTTTAAAAGTGTAACCGGAAAGGGTGTTCCATTCCTTAAGGTTGACTCAAATCTAGAAGCTTCATCTGATTTTCGATTTTGTGAACTGTCTGTGCTAGGGGCATCTTTGAGCCCCTTAACTTCGACCTCCTGCCAGGGCCTGAGCTCCATCCTACAGGGTTTGACTGGTTCTTTGGATGGCATCAGCAAAAGTTTGGAGGGTGTTTTGGGCACCAAAGAAGGCTCTAGTATATTGGGTGGCGGCGGCGGAGGCGCTGGAGGTCTGGGGCTATTGGGTGGTGGTGAGTCGAATGAATCCTCAAATAAAAATCCCTTATCAAATGTTTTCGGATCATCATTGACCAGCGGTGAAACTACCAGTAACAATAATCCACCTCGTCGTGATAGAACCACAAATAGACCACTTGGTGGCCTTGGTCTCCTAGGAAAATAAAATGACAAAAGTTTTCCATAATATATTTTTTTTTATATTTTCTCACTATAATTTTTAGGTTATCGAATATGACAATAATAAATCGGCATACACAATATAATTTAAGTAATAAAAAATACAATGTACAAAGAAAAAATAATTATCGTTTTATGTTAAACACCACGATATTAATAGCCCAATTTCAACAAAGTAAATTCCTGGATTTCCTGCGAAAATGTCTATAGAGCCGTTTCGAGTCAATAAATAACATACAAATATGCAAAAATTGGGTTTTATAGATATTGAAGGTAGATGATATATAAGAATAGGGTATAAAAATGCTTAAATTTTTTTATCTTTTTTTGCGATATTAGATTGCGTTATTTCTAATTTGAACCAATTTGGTTGTAAAGTATGGCCACAATCATCGAAATACAGGATTTCGATTTCTCAAAACGTTTGCCAAATAAAGGGATTCTTTCGCACGAAACACAAACAAAGTGGTAACAAAATCAACAATTATGTGTAGTCATAATCAGCATAAAATTCTAAGTTGATGTAACGATGTCCGTCTGTCTGCTGAAATTTAGAGCTTAACAATTTGGCAGAACTATTTGTATTGTGTCTAGGATGGTTGCTACTAAGATATATCGGTCCACGTTTTGGAATAGCCGTCATATAACGGCATATTATTGAATATAATTAATTTTCTCTGGCTACAAATAAGTCGACAAAGACTTTTTGATACCCTCCATCATGATATGTACAAAGTCAAATTGATAACCTAACTCAATACATTTTTGTAAGGCAGTAAGACACTCATTAGAAACTTCAAATACAAAATTTCCGACAATTTCGTGGGAAAAATTGGGGATAGACATCAGAATACCGAATATAGGGTGCTACAGTTATATGGGAGATATATCATAATGTGTGTATTAACTGTTTATTGCAAGTGGATTAAGAACACGGAACAATATTGAAATACCGAATTCCAGGCAATGCCGTTGAAACACTTAAAATGAGGTTATATGGGAGCTATACGAAAAAGTTGACCAATATAGCCCATCTTCGAACTTATAGTAGACCCAAAAAGCATGGTGCATCAGCACTATATCTCAATTCGTTCGGAAGATAGCATGGTTACAACGAACGGACGTGACTAAATCAGAATTTAATTTTAAAAGCCAGTCAGGGTGCTTCGTCTGGTGGCATGCGATCTGGTGGCATCGATTTATAATTGTTTTATGAAAATTGGAAATATAAACTTTAATAAAAACTACAAATGTCAAATGAAATATTTAAGAAGTTAAGAAGCAGTAAGTTCGGCCGGGCCGAACTTTGAATACCCTCCACCATTTGGACCGAATTTGGAAATTTTCAAATAATAAAATCCTTACAAAATTCTGTTACAATTTTAAAAATACCGAATATACCCGTTATATTGGGGTACATACGACGTGGACCTACATAGGCATTGTTTACCATTAGCCATATTCAAATTCGAAACTTGAAATAAACGGTGAATAATGTAGCTAAAATCATCAAAATATCGTATATAGGGATTTACGGTTATATCGGAGCTGTGCAAAGACCTGGGCCAGTATAGACAATTTTCGGTCACAGGCTATAGCATCCATTACTAACGTCAAATACCATATCTCAAACGATTTCGGTGGGTATTGTACCTATATTCGTCAAAATACGGAATATAGGGAGGTTCTGATGTATGGGGCCTATACGAAGACCAGGGCCTGCATAGGCAATTTTCTGTCACAGACTGTAGTTCCCATTATGAATTCTAAATACGTAATTTCAAACAATTCCGGTGAATAATGACGCTTAAAATCATCAAAATACCGAATTTTGGGAGGTACCGTTATATGGGGGCTATACGAAGACCTGGACCTGCATAGACATTTTTCTGTCACAGACTGTAGTTCCCATTACGAACTCTAAATACGTAATTTGAAACAATTCCGGTGAATAATGGCGTTAAAATCATAAAAATACCGAATATTGGGAGGTACCGTTTTATGGGGTCTATACAAAGACGTGGACCTATTACAAATTACAAATCTCAAATACCAAATTTGAAACAATCCCGGTGAATAATGTCGCTAAAATCATCAAAATATCGAATAACGTTATATGGGGCTCTACGAAGACGTGGAACTGCACAGACAATTTTCTGTCTTAGGCTGTAGTATCCATTTCGTACTTCAAGTACCAAATTTGAAACAATTGCGGTGAATAATGTCGCTAAAATCATCAAAATACCGAATATCGGGAGGTACTTATATATGGGGGCTATATGAAAACGTGGACCTACATGGCCCATTTACACACTTAACCTGCCTACTGGAAAAATAAACACGTGTGCAAAATTTTAGCCTTCTATCTCAATTCGTTCGAAAGATAGCGTGATTACAGCAGACAGACGGACAGATAGACAGACTGACATGACTAAATCGACTTAGAATTTTACGCTGATCAAGAATATATATACTTTGTTGGGTCTGACATGAGTATTTCGAGGAGTTACAAACGGAATGACAAAGTTAATATACCCTCCATAGTATGGTGGAGGGTATAAAAACTGTCTGGGTTGCTTGAGCTCACTCGACAGCGAGCTCTCTCAGCCCTCGACAAAAATGCTCGTTACACAACCTCTCTAGTATTACCACATGGTACTTCTGGTTTTATCATATTCTGTATAATCCTTTAAAACTTTATCAATGGACCTATTTTTAAGCGTGGTAGGCTCTTTTTGTTAAGTGACTATCCGACTTTAGTCATATTTTCTTTCTTTGAATAAATGGATCCGTTACGATTTCTATGTTTTTAAGGTAAAAGTAAAAAGAAAAAACCATTTAAAGTTTCAATGATAAAAATAAAACTTTGTGGAATAATTAAAGAGTTTCCCATAGATTTACACTTGAACGTAATTACTTCTTTAGCAAATCATTAACATCAATCCGCCGCACAATTGTGTGGCTGTTAGTGTTTTTCTTCTTCTCCGGCTTCTTCTTCGGTTTTTATTACAATATCCCTTCATTTAATTACATTGATTTTTTGTTGGTAATTTCCACCAGGTATTATTTAACATTCTTGCCAACTACGACTACTACTGCCTCCCGTCTATTATAACAATTTCAGCCGAATCCTACAATATAATTCACCCCCATTCCAGATTCTTATATTTTCTTATATTAAGTCGAATTTTCATGGAAATGAAGTCTACTTTGCAAGGGTAGACATCGTGTCTGCCAGTGACTATTGAATTATAAACAGTGGGTGGATAAATTGAAAATATATTAATTAAAGAGATGCTCAAGCATTTTTATTAACTCCCGTGAGATATTGATGGCAATTTTTAGCCAGAGCTCCCGTAACAAAATAATTTATTTGAAGTAGATAATACCATCTATCAACATTTGGCTTTAGATCAGTTATAATTTAGTTTCAGAGGGAACTAATATATGGAAGGCATATTCAAATCTGAATCCATTTTCACTAAATTTAACGGAGACATTTTTATCTTTTATACCAAATAACATCCCTATAACATAAATATGAACCGATCTGGTTAAAATTTTGCAGAGGTGTTTATGGTCTGTATATGTATCTGCATATTAGGACTGCGAGGGTCATGAACACCAAATTTGATGAAAAAAATTTATAGGAGCTATAGTTACATCTGAACCGATTTACAAATTACCGAAGTAATGGTATCCAGGAAGAATTTAGTCTCGGAAACAAATATTATTCTTGTAAAGTGCAAATTACGCATGTGAGGGACTTAAAGCCCCAAATCGGATGAAACCATATATATGGGAGCTATAGCTATATCTGAACCGATTTGATGTACTTGCTTCTAGACTGAAATCGGTCGGATGTGTCAAAATTGAAGAATACATAGATAGACGGGCGGTCGGACGGACAGACCGACTAACATGCATAAATCGAGTCAGAATGTAATTCTATGAGGATCCTTAAAAGTAATCACGGGTCTATGTCGCTTTCATCTCCATTTAACAAACAAATGTACAAACACATAATACCCTTACCACTATGTGGTGTAAGATATAAAAAACAAGTCAAAAAGCAATAAGTTCTGCCGGACCGAAATTTGAACTTCCTCCACCATTAGGAACGAATTTGGATATATGGGGGCTATACCTAAAAGAGGACCTACATAGCCCATTTCAAATACCAAAAGTCCTGCAGACCAAAAACACATTTGGGTAACATTTTATCAACATACTTCAATTCGTTCGGAAGCTACAGGGTGAGATGAAAAAACTGCAACCAACTTCAGACTGTTGTCATTTCGAAGCCACTCGTCCGACAGCTGTTAAAATTATTCCAGTGCCAGCTCATTATATTGTTTACAAGGGTACAAAAGAATTTCGGTGAGAATTTTCCAGAAAAAAGCTATTCGTGATGGAATTCGAGCGTGATAGTGCGATTTCTGGAGAACCACAAGTGGCTATCATTAGAGCACTCCAGCATTTAAATGTGAATAAATCTTTTGTGTCTCGTACCATCGCTCGTTACCGTGATACTGGTCGACGTCAAGGAAGTCGACGGAAGAAAACAGCAACATCAGCAAAAAAGTTCGAAAAGGAAAGGACTTGATCGAAACCTGCATCGCAGTTGCCGAAAAATGGCTCGTGAGGTGAACACACCGCAATATTCCATTCGACAAATATTAAAAATGAGCTCGGGGTAAAGCCATTGAAATTCAAAAAAGTGCAAGAATTTACACCGCAACATGAAGAAAATATACTCTAAAGAGTTGCTTCGTTTGGCCGAAAGTGGTGAATTGCCGAATTTGGTTTTCTCTTGCCAAAGAGGTCAGCTGAAAATGTGCAACTTCGGTTGGCCACCAGAACTCAAGCGCCGGCCATTGTGATGGTGTCTGCCGCCAAAACAGCCGATGGTCGCTCTCCGCTCGTACTAATCGACAGTGGCATCAGAATAAATGCCGAATTTTATCGCGAAAATATTCTGAAGGGTGTATTAAAGCCTTAGGCACCCAAA